GAGTAGACAACAGGTAGCGTTTATTAATAGGGGATAAATCATAGGTAGATTCGAAAAAAGCATTTGACATGAGAAGAGAAAAGCGTTATGGAAAGAGTAAAGGTAGAGAAAGAAGTAAATGAAGAGATTAGAAAGAATTATACAGAGGTGAGGAAAGAAATGAAAGACTGTGGAAAGAAAAGTATTTAGAATAAGAAGGGATACAACAAGATGGGAAGAATATAAGAAGATGTAGATAGAGAAATTAGAAAATTAGAGAAAAAATTAGAGAAAGTTATGAAAAAATTGGAAACAGTAAAGAAAGAGTTGTCAGAAAATAATAGAAAAATAGGAGAGAGTTTGAAGGACATAAGAAGCTTAGGCAGGATAAGTAGAGAGGAGAACGATTATGATAGTGAGGGAAGGAGTATAAGCAGTTTTAGAAGGAAAGAAGGTAGCTCAAGGGTAAGATCTATGGTAAGTGAGGGGAGTTTAAGCTGCAGGGAAGTAAATGTTTTAAAGAAATGGATTTCAGATAATGAAAAAAAGAGGTGTTTGCACAAAACTGATGTCTCGTAATATAGCGATTTTCGTGCGTGTGCCCGCCACACGTGCTACCGGGTGATTCCGTCGGGAGCGATGTAATCAAGAGAATGCAACACGTTTCTCTCTGAATTGAAATTAATTTTATTTGCTCTGGATTACAACAGTCGTAGACGCAAGCACGGACAAAGATGTTCGATGATTTTGCTGCGGGCAGTTTTGAAACGGGTATCGTTGTTTGCACAGATCGCGCGGCCGTTCGTCACAAAGTGTCCAACACACAAAAAAGTAGGTATAGACGCCCTCTCGTATAGTGACACCGTTCAGCGCCTAACGCTGGTCAATCATGGTCGCGACCGACCAATAGCCAATTACGATGAGCGAGGACTTTAGATATTGCAACTTTTGTATGTTTGTACTAAGCGATGCATTCGAATAAATGATTCAATCAAATGAATCGAAGAATGGGAATCATCGTATTCGCCGGAAAACGTTGGAAGATTCAACTTTGGCAATCGAACGTTAAACTGGTTTTCTGATAGACTAGACGCTCGATGTGGACGGCAACGTTGATTGCGCTCGCTGAGGCAGTATCGAATTGAAGTTCGCGGATTCTCGCACAAAGTGAATAATATGCTTCTTCAAAGACGGACCCGGTCATTGCTCTTATTGTTGTTAAGCAATTCTATTTGATTTTGTATGACGTTATACTATGACCAGTGTTCATCCAACTTGATTCTGCGCTCCTCGAGCTGAGCAACAATAGCCGGGGTGATCTGAATGACCGCGTCAACGTATGTTAATACTTAATTCGCATGCACGAGCCCTTAACAATTTCCCGTTGTTTTTTAAGCACCTTTTTTAAGCTCGGATGACATCGCAAGTTAATCTTACTCGAATACTCGTAACGGCAAGACTCTCGAGATCGGCACTACCACAAATGATCCTCCTTACCGATATTGTGCGTAGGAACGTCCTCGATGATGTAGTTTCCTTCGTTGGTGCGATCCTGGGGAGGCTGTTCTTGCGTGAGCGTGTATCGATGACTGCAGGCGGAAGCTTAGAATCTCCGCTCGAGCATCAAGATACTCTGCTGGATGACGGAAATTCCGCCCGTTGCTGACGGGAGTACTTTCTTCGACACAGAAGTTCCGTCCGTCGATGGCAGGTTGCTTTCTGTTCGACACCAAAGTTCTACCTGGATTGGTGGGATATAAACTGCTTCAAGAAGAAGAGAGAGGTAAAAAGAATATGTAGAAAATAAAAAAAAATGGAAAAGAGACGGGAAAGAAATATTTAGAGAAGAGGAAAGAGTTCAGAGAATTATTGGAGAAGAAACAAAAAGAAAAAGGGGAAGAAGAGTAGGGGGAATTGAAAAAGTTGAAGAGGGAAACAGACGTATGGAAGTATATTAATAGGAAGAGAGGTAAAAAGATATGGAAAGAGAATAATATAAAGAATGAGGAATGGAGGAAATATTTTAAGGATCTATTGGACGGCACTGAAGTGGAAATATGAAAATAAAGTACAGAGCATTGGTCAGCTCTCTAAGGAAGAAGAAGAAAAAGATAAAAATAAAGAAGAAGGACTGAAGGTGAAAGAGATTAGTAAGGCGTTGAGTAAGATGAAGAAGACGAAGGCAGGATGATGTACCTATGGAAGCTTGGTTATATGCAGGTGAAGGTTTACGGAAGAGGCTAGTGGAACTGCTACAAAAACCTGCACCCTAGTAATGATTTAATGTGAGTTATATGATATAAGATTGCGCTATTTATTACATTGACAAATTGATTCAACTGACATAATAATATTATCATATTCCAGTAAAAAATTAAAATTACAATACTAATATAACATAAAGGCATCTATAATAGATTGGTTGCCTGCAAATTATTTCAATTCCTTCTTTCTGATTTCTGTGTAAATCTTAGCGCGCAGCGTACATAAATATCGGAGTTACTTATTTTTTTATTTGTTTTAATTCCATTTCAATTTATTAGATATTGTACGAAATATTTAAAAATTATTATATATATAAATAATAAAATAAAATACTTTTTAATCGTTTAATGTAAAATTGATGTAATAATTAATAAACGCGATTTAATAATCATTTATTTGTCGTGAATAATTATTAAAAGAGGGATGTATTATATTAACGTATTCTCACTTACTAGCTAAAAAATGAACAATCCATTCAAAAATACTTTTAATGAAAAAATGAGTATTGAAAATGGACAATCCACTAAAAAATATTCATAGCGAAAAAACGAGTATTGAAAACGGGCAATTTCCTCAAAAATACTCATACGCATATTCGTTTATACTCATTCATCGTTTCTCCCGATATACTGCGAGTGTTTGTGAGTGCAAGAAAAGGGTAGGAACGGACTAAAAATAAACTCAGTCCAAATAAGATCTAAAAACGGTGAAAAATTATTATAAGAGTGATTTTTTTAATTTTTCTGATTAGATTAAAGGAGAAGAAAGAATCCCACAAAATAATAATGTAGTCAAGAAAGATATAACAATTTTAAGATAACACACTACGAAGATTCCCTTCAAACAATCTTCCTCTTGAAACAATTGAGGAAGAGGAGACAAAAAAAATATAATAAAATTTAAAAAACACAATGATCCAACTAAGTACAAAAGCAGTAAGAAATAAAAAATGATAAAAACATCTTGAAGAGGTCAGACAGACAAATCGGGCGCATGAGTATTGAAAATGAACAATCCATTCAAAAATATTCATAGCGGAAAAACGAGTATTGAAAACGGGCAATTTACTCAAAAATAGTCAAAGTGGATGCGTCTCGGGTATAGATACGCATACATTAATACATACCTATATGTATGACGAGTATTCATGAGCATAAAATTAGCTGAATAGAGGATGCATCGTATGAGAATGTTTATTAAACGGTTTTATGGTCAACGAAGATACCATGTACTCATAAGAACACGAGTACTTCCTTCTACCGAGAAGAAATGACTTTGCAATATTTCCTCCAAACTTTTAAAGGAAAAAAAGATAGAATTCAAACAATAAGTAACTCCGATATTTATATATTGTTAAAGGTTTTTATGTATTTTAAACACGGCTGAAGAAGACTAAGTACGGTCGAAACGTTCCGTGAAATGATAGAAAAAGAATAATAAAGGATTAATATTTACATCTTTTAAAGCTCATTTATTACAATGACCTGGTAGAAGTCCCTTATTTTATTGTTTTTGATTTTCTTTCGTTTATTTGCTAACAAAATAAGCTTTCAGAAAAACCTTATATTTTTGAACGAGGGTTGCTGCCAATCTCATCCAATCATTTTTCGCCGTAAAACCGTAAATCCTGATTATGCGCATATTCCGTCTCGCTAAGTTATCGTTTGTTAAACAACGATATTTCATTAACGTGAAAGCCTAATTTCCTTCTGCGCACTATTCGTCTTGCGTGACGCGTACTTTTGCGTCGAATAATTTTACTACTGACCTCATTCGCAATGCAGAACGAGTAATGCTTTCGCTGCAGATGAAATGTGAGATAAGCGCAACGAGATTGAACAGTTTCATGAGTAATTTCTTACCCGAAATTCTTTTGTAGAATATAATGCAAGCGTGTCATTGTTTGTCGCTGCACCCAGTCTATTGTAATTCCCATTATTTGTCAAATCAAAAGTTCGGAGGAAATCATTGCAAAGTAATTTCTTCTTGGTAGAAGGAAGTGTTCTTATTCTACATTGTATCTCCGTGTTCTTATTCTACATTGTATCTCCGTTAACCATAAAACCGTTTAATAAACATTTTCATACGAGGCATCCTCTATTTAGCCAATTTTGTGCTCATGAATACTCGCCGCCTATATATGTATTAATGTATGCGTATCTATACCGAGACGCATCCTTACGAAGCCTTCGATGTTATTATGCACTTGAGAGTCGAGTGGAAGTCGTTAAAATGTCGCTTCTACTAGCAACAAGGCCAAAGCAGTAATTTTAAACAGAGTGGGATACTGGAAAGGGTCGCTAAGATATACTCAATTTCCGATTTTACCGAACGGCACGCCCTTTCGAGAGAAGAAGGGAATTTTCTTTTCCACAAGTCACAGTAGCAAAAGCTGACAGACGCTTTTATGTTGAGCTATGTAAAATCGATGCTTTGATAAACCAGTGGTTGAATAACGTTGATATTTGAAATTCGCACGAATGCGCGTATAGTACTACATTTTGATGAGAGTACTATTCTTGGGGATTAAAGATTTATCGCTTATGAATACCTTCAGTATTAAAATAAATCCTTTAAAAACTATTCTGAACAACTAAAGTTAAAATCGATAAGTTTTCCTGCGCGCGTGTAAGAAGAAACTACTATACGTACAATGGATATCGCAATTAAAACATTTACTTCTACTGCAGTATATTATTTTGGTCAGGAACATTCCTTACATCAACGTTTACATTTCTAGCAGATATTTATTATCTTTTCCGATGATGTTGGCCTGATGAAATTTTTATATAGATTCACAGTTCATTTTTAATCGTCTGTACTCACATACTTTCGTATATGATAGTGTGTGTGTAATAAAATATATTTAACAAAAAAGAAAGTTGTACGAAACGATAGAAAAGCACACTCTTCTTCCATATTTTTCTTCCCCCTTTTTATGAAAAATTTGATTAAAAAAAAAGTTTTTTAATTTTTGAAACAATGCTCCACACCTTTAAAAAATCTGAATACGATATATTTTATTCATCAGGGAATGATTAATTCACCATAATTTTTTGAAGAGTATTTTTTGAAGTATTTAAATATTTTCAATAACAAATATGCATTAAAAATTTTTTTTGTTTTTTTTAATTCAAATTTTTCGTCAAAAGTCTAAAAAAATTTCTTTTAAATATATTGTACTAAAAAAATCAAATTTATCAAATTTTTTCAGATTTTTTAATTCATACGATAGGAAAATAAAAATAAAAATTGAAATTAATTTTTCACTACTATAATATAAGTTTAGCAGAGTGAAATTTGATGTAAAATAATCTTTTATCAAGCTTAACAATGTAACGTATTCAAAATTGGATTTGATTCGGGGGCATTTTTTATATGCTTATTCGGGTAGGTCCTTTGCATTCATGTTAGAATTATGCACGATATTCAAATAAATTTGAGAGAACTCGTGTATAGAGTGTGCTATGAAGTAATGTGTATTTTTAGGACTATCTATTTAACAGTGAAAATTAATTGTTGCAGGTTGGCTTAGAACCTCAAGGAAGGTTG